GTCAATCAGCAAAATAATAGCAATACTGTAGGGCAGGCCTCCCGGCAGCTCATCTTTCCCATCAATGCCATTAAAGATGGGCGGGAATATCACGGATCAGCCGCTCCGGCCCGCCTTGCCCGTTGTGGTCGCAAAAGAGCCGTAAATTCTCCAAATGCACCTGTTACCATTTGGAGACAATTCCTCTCAAAAATTTACTTCGTTCCCGGCACTGTTAGCCATGCATGCCCGGGGTAACTTCAGACACCAGCATCACGGCACTGTCAAAAAAGGGCAACCAACGCTGCCAAAAAAGAAATTATGATAGTCAATTCTCTCGCTCGCGATTCACCACTTTCAGAGCAACTACAGGGTAGATTTTAAGTTGAAAGGTCAATCAATGTACAGTATCATCTTGTAATTTATTGGTTGACCTGGACCTCATCTACAACTCATGAATGAATTACACATCTCCCAGAATGACTGAAAAGCACAGAAGGGTCATGCCTGAGTTCAAATCTGCTGAATTTATAAAATTTTCTGTCAAGGGAAAATATTATGTAAGTATGTTGCCACCTTCAGATTCACATGCCAACCAAGAAATTCAGAATTGAAAAGTCTGCTTTTCAATGGATCGGTATTATTAGCCTCGGGGTGCCTCAGGATGACCTCAGGCAACCTCTTTGTATGGGGAGAACTACCAGATCCCCCCCCTTTGACTAGTTGGGCCGCTGGAAAATTTGATAAGATCACCCCAAAACGGAAAGTCTGATTAATTGTGTTCTGCACGTGCATCAGAGTGTTGTGGGTCCTACTGCCTAAAACGGTAAGCGACGTCCATCACACCAGCGTGGCAGTCCGGCAGAGTCCGGCTTTCCATAGGTGTGCCGTCATATGTGTAAATGGGTTTCACTCCATGATGAGGCTGTCGGCGTCCCTTGCAAATCGTTTGATGTTCCAAAACGCCGCTCCGCCAGCGAAGGCAACATGATTTCAAGCAGTATTGTGAAAAGTAGTGGTATCAGTAATATTGTGTACAACATATAACAGCACACTGTACACTTCTGCACAACAAGGAAGGTGGTCTTCAGTTTTCAATAATAGGTTCATGTCAAGAATGTTTCAAGTTCGATGCAGCCGCTAAAACCCGTCCGACGCCGTGATCCTGAAACACAAAACACTCCGGTGGATGCGCTATAACAGGCGGCCATTTGAATCATTTATAGTTGTTATATCATAGCTACTAAACAGGGACTTTGTTATTTGACCAGATCCATCAGATATAAAGTCGCCCGAACGTTATCCTGATATATCACACATAAAAAAGAGTCAGATCGGGCGTGCTGATAGGAAAGATAACCGGGCTGCGATAAAATTGACTGTTTGCGAAATAAATAAGGACAAAAACAGGACCTTAATTTGGGTCTCGATTGCAGTGTTGTGGATAAGGGTCTTAATAAGGGTAAAAATTTCCAGCGAGCACTTATTTGCATAGTAAGGGTTAGTAAGGGTTGCTAATAAGGGTGCCAAATAAGGGTTATTTCCTCATTAGGTTGCTAGGCTATATCGTAAATAAAAGCAGATTTTATTCTTCGTAGTCGTCCCCAAACCCGTGCCCATGTCTGGCTCTTTATCACCATGGTCAGCTGCCAACAACTCCATCAGTTGAACCACGGCTCTTTCTCAATGAGCTTGATATCCTTCTTAAGTCAATATTGACATATATTTGGGCTTATGTGCCAAGATGCAGCGCCAATGGGTCGTCTTCACTTCGGTGGGAAGGGCCCCAGATGTCTTCGAGTTGGGGCATGGCGCAGTGGATGAACAATTGCTCATTCAATATGGATGACGTAAATAATTCACGTGCCACAGTAAGGGTTAATAAGGGTCTTATAAGAAATCCCGAGCCAGATAAGGCCTTAGCTTATCTGGAGATAAGGGCTTAATAAGATAAGCCCTTATCAACTTATCTACAACACTGCTCGATTGTTCTCATATTCGGCAGCCCGTTATCTGCCCAGATTGGATCAAAACAAGGCCACAATCGCGGCCCGAGATCTGGGACATATCTGGGCTGATAAAAGGTGCGCGGAAAGACAGCTCGATATGCCGAAGATCAGGGCGCTGAATATGTGTCGGCCACGGGGGCGGCTGCTTCGTGTATGTAGGTAGTCCTGCGGTCACAATCAGTGGCCGCTCCCGGGCCGGCCAGCGGCCGCCCCGCTGCCGACACATATTCAACCCCCTGATCTTCGGCATTTACAGCCCTCTGTAATACAATGAAAATGATCCTCTCAAATTTCTAGGTCAGTTGGATACCAATAGCCATCACATTCATCATTCTGTACAAAAAGACCAATATTTTCCCAATAAGACAATTATGATCGGACCAAGAAAAATGAAGATGGTGGTGCCCTCAGAGGAGGTATGCATGTGCCACCATGGAGCTGTGGCTGCCTGATACCATGGTTCAAACATAAAAGAGGTGAGTCCGAGTCAGTGATGGTTAGCAAATTACAGTCGCACGCCGCGTTACCCCGAGTCGGAAGAGGGCATTCAGGTTGTTTAATACTCATCACCATCAAAAGTCATCATCTTTTGTGTTTGTTTGATGCAATGAGCAGCCCATTATATATATAAGTTCTCTCGAATATATGCAAGCCCCTCAGGCGCAAAAAAACCCCAAATTGATACCACTTTACTAGCCCAAGGGGGTATTACTTTGTTTGGTCCATTTTTCAGAGAAATCAGGAAAAATCTCCTTGTGCAGCACTCAGTGTGCGCATTTATCTAAAAGTTGCTGAGGCATAACTTGAGTGTCTTTCCATCATCACAGGTTAACATGAACTGAGGACTGGCTCCTACAACCAAAATTTGGAGTGCTCAAGGAGCAGTGTGTCAGCTTCATAGCACTTGATTTTTTAAATATTGTGTGCTGGGGCAAAATCTGCCTGAAATGGACAGTATGTTCATGGAAACATGGAGGGAAATCTTTAAGAACATCCCTACCACACTTTGATCAGTCAAATTCATTATGTTGGGACTGAGATCTGTGATGTTTCAGAAAATGGCATTCAAATGTTTTTGTACTTTTCAGCATCATTGTGGGGCGCCAGTTGATAACTAAGCCCTGTACAGGGCCCAGGTAGGTGACATGCTTAATTTTCCTGAATGTCCAACATTTTGAGTAGCCTCAGTGATCTGAGCCCAATCCAGGTTTTTTCCAGCTGGGCATCAAATTATAGGTGATTGCAAAGCAGCATATGACATCTTGTTAGGTCATTTTACTGCACCAATGAACCAATTAATACCAGGTAATTTATGTTGTGGACTAATAACATCCTATTGTATCCCCCAATGTCAGCTTATTGAGCTGGGTGCACCAAATAAGGCATTATAAATCAAAAGACAATGACTTTTGATGGTGACGAGTAGTGAGATACCAGCACTGGGCCAGGAAGAACCGAAATAAATAGCTCGAAAGGTTTGCATGCACAACTTGAATCGTGACGGACGGAAAAAACGTGAGGAGTCAATTTTGACAACCATCTCCAAGTCCTGGCCTCGATTCGAACGAGGAACTTCCCTTCAAAGGCTTCGATGAGTCATCAGCAAGCTAAGACGTGTTGCTGTACACCACCAGGGCGGCACACTAAGCCACTAATCATCGGCATAGGCTCGAGTTAGCACACTGGACATTTCAAAGATCTTTCGCGGGTCGCTTAGAGACAAGACGACGCTGACACCATGGTTCACAAATAAGCGGTGTATGCGTGCGCCAGTATTTATTAGCAAACTGCGGTTGCGCAGCACCGCGTTGCTCAGGAAATAGAATTATGGTTGTTTGTGTTTCTGGGAGTGAGATCCACTGCCAACCAACCACGGCCGTAGCCAGGAAGAACCAAAATTAGAGAGAGTCGAGGACAGGACAGAGGTTTGCATAGTGGCCGCGACGGAGGGGAAAAAAGTGGAAGAGTATTTTCCGGCAGTAGTTCCCTGGCCTCGATTCGAACGAGGAATATCCTCCAGAAGGCTTGAAAAACGAACAGGCAAGCGATGTCGTGTTGTACACCACCAGGGTGATACTGTAGTGATATATTATGCACAGCATGGTCCAGTCTCTGAACAGATGTCCAGCACTGTGGTTTAGATTTAAATAGGTGTATGCGTGCACAGTGTCAGGCTTCAGCAAATTGAAATCGCACGCGAGGTCATTCAGGTTTCGTGCAGTGAGATGGCAGCTACGGCCATGGCCAAGAATGAGCCAAAATAAAGGGCTCGAGAACTTGAAGTTTGCATGCGCCGCGGCGGACGGAAAAAAGGGTACCAACCTTGCTGTCTAAGTGAAAGATCTGCCAAAAGTCCGCGGCTCGCGTAGAGACAAGACATTCGGCTGACGGTTCAGATTTAAAATAGGTGCATGCCAGTGCATGCGCAATGTTAGGTAGCAAACTACAGGCGTGTGCGCCGCGTTGCTTGGGAGAGGGAATTCTGGTGGCTTGGGTTTCCGGGAGTGAAATATGCCACTGCTATGGCCAGGAAGAACGAGGATAAGACAGAGGTTTGCACAAGCATGACGGACGGGGGGGAGAAAAAGTGGAAAATTTGAGCACGCTCCGAACAAATATATATCCTGGCCTCGATTCGAACGAGGGGCATCCTCTGGAAGGCTTGGATCGGATAAGCAAGCGCGGATGTGTTTCCATACACCACCAGGACAATGGTGGGCCTCGCGGTAAGCCGTGAAGTATTGGAATAAGCTCCAGTCATTTAAGATCTTTCGTGGCTCGCGTAGGACAAGACATTCAGCTGACGCCCGGCTACCGTGGTTCAAAATTAAAATAGGTACTTGCGCATGCATGGCACAGTATTGGCAGATTGCAATCGCGCACGAGGTCTTGTGCATTGAGATACCATGCATGGCCTGAAAAAAGTTGACTAGATACTGAGCTCGAGAGGTTTCCTTACATGCACGATCGTGATTGACGGGATGCGAAAAAAGAAGATGCACGCCTTTGGGATGCCCTGGCCTCGATTTGAACGAGGAACTTCCTCTGGGAGATCCTATTATGCCATAGCAAGAGGACGTGTTGCTGTACACCACCAGGGCGGTGGTGGTGTTGAGAATACAGGTTGATAGTTGGTTAAAGAACCTGCGTGGCAGAGGTTCTTCGAGAGTCATGCGTTTTTCACGCCTTGACATCCATTCAATCCAGTGCAACTGCAATAGATGCAGTTGGACAGCACGTGGACATGTTCCCCTAGCAAATGTGGCGTGATTTGGACATACATGAGGCCGAAAGAATCTCACGAGTGACGAAGAGCGTAGTACCAAGAGGGTACCCACATGTGTCATGTGATCTGGCCAGCGGGCCGCTGCGGCGCTGCCGGGCGTGGATGGCACGAGTGTGTCGCACTTGTGTGGCGCTCGACACACCGTGCTCCCCCGCGCCACACTCTACACATCCGCGACACGCGCATCTGCAGCCGGCGACACATTGATGGAGAGTGTCGCATCTCTTCATGTCGCATCAGTGTCACTGCCGATTCCAATCAGTGTGCCGTCTGTTGTATTCCGTAATTATAGATTAACCAAAAATGGAAGGGCCGGGGAACGCCATATCTTCAACACGACTGCACATTTATGCAGAACCTCTGGGGATTTTACACGATTGAGGCTGTATTGGACGCGCCATCGGGCCTGGAAATCGTGAAAAACGCGACAAGGTATGCGCGCCGAACGGCACAGTCACGCCTGCACCACGTGATGTGGCCAATCTCCCCACAACAAATGGCTATCATTGGGCTTCCGCTTCCATGTCCGCCGCCCATCTGCGCGACATTGCAGAAACTACGCTTGCCGCCGTGTCATCGCGAAGTGTCGTGGTGAAAGGGCTACTATACGATCTGCGCGGCAACATCCCCCAGTCTACGCTCCAAACGGCCTACTACGCTCCAGACTCGCTGCTGTCCACCTGGCGCTCCTTCAGCCCCGCGCAGCCTCATCCAGCGGCGGTCCAAACGGTGATAGAGTTCCTAGAGACGACTACTCTGGATGCCGCGCGCACCGCGGGCCTCAGGGGTTACAAACGACCGATCGGGGTGCTCAACTTTGCGTCTGCGGAGCAGCCCGGCGGCGGTTTCATCAACGGCGCCAACGCGCAGGAAGAGTCCATCGCGCGCAGCTCGACGCTGTACGCATCGCTTATGACGCCCACGGCGCAGCAGTTCTACACGCTGCACTCGGCGGGCGAGCGGGGCGGGTTCTACACGCATGCGATGGTGTACTCGCCGCGCGTCGTGGTGTTCCGCACAGACGACGGCGCGTGGGCGGAGCCGATGGAGATCGACGTCGTGACGAGCCCGGCGGTGCACGCGGGCCTGGTGCGCAGGGCGGCCGGCGGCGGCGGCGCGATCGAGCGGGACATCGCGCGCGTGATGCGCGAGCGCATGGCGCGCGTCCTGTTCCTCTTCGAGCGCCGGCAGGTCCGGAACATCATCCTCGGCAGCTTTGGGACGGGCGTGTTTGAGAACGACGTGGACGCCGTTGCTGGGATCTGGGCGGAGCTGCTGGGGCGGCCGGCGGCGCGCTTCGCGCACTCGTTTCATTATGTGGCGTTTGCTGTTGTGGACAACGCGACGTATAAGCGGTTCAAGCGTGCTTTCGAGAGAGCCCAAGGGAAGTAGCGCGAGACCGGGCTCATGGTTGGCTGATCTGCTGAATACTCGGACGCTAGTCGTGGCTCGAGGTGCCCAAGATACGCGCCGAGTGGGCTATGGCATGGGTAGACACTTTTGTCAGCATCCGTCCAGGGTGGCGAAATGCATGAAACCTTAAACATTTTCCAGGATATTACCTAAACGTGACTCACTGATTGATTCCCTCCCGCTGGACGACGTTGTCTGGCGACGTCTCATGTACTCCCGTAAATGTCCACAGGTTACACCGCCCCTTCAAAATCCATCATCGCGATCACTCCCAACCCCAACGCCTATCAAGGTAGCCATGTTACTCGTCGCGGGACGCCATCGTTGCCTCAGCGCCACTGCGGCAGTCCCGCTGCCATCGAGGTTACTGTTTCGCATCCGCTACAGCCGCAAAGTATAGTCGCCCGCCAGATTTATAAAGTACACATTTCAAGCTCGCGATGCCTCATTCAACCCCACCTCGACAGTGCCAGTCCTTGAAGGATGTCACGTTCATTCTACCTTGCAGGCGTCGCCTTTCTCTCAGTCGCTCTGCTCCTGGGCCTCCTGGTTTCGCTATCCCTCCCCACTCTCCCCGCGCTCGACTTTGTCCGCATCACGGTCCCCGACGCGCCGAAGGGCAACCTGTTCCTAAGCGAGCTCCGCGTACGTCCCGCCGTCTGCAGTTCTATGTAGTATCTAACACGTGCTGTGCTCAGCTCGGCATATGGTGCGTCTCTGATCTGTCGACGTGCTGGGGCTGTGGTGTTCTGACATTTCATAATCAATCTAGGGCACCCTGCGCATATGACGGGAACGGTGTGCGGACCTGCCAGTTCAGCGGCCATGGCTACTCGCAAGCGCTTTTCAGCGCAGACTACGCGCAGCACGCCGTGCTCACCTCGTCCTGGACCCGCGGGCTCGCAATCCACCCCGTCGGTCAGCTTCCCCTCGCGCCCACACGTGTACACGCAGACTAATATCGTGAATGCAGCGACGTTCTTCACGGCCATCGCGCTCGGGTGCGCCGTCATGCCGTGGGAGCACGGCACTCTGGCGGCGACGTTCGCGGCCTTCATCGCCGCGTTCCTGGTCAGTACCGCTCGCGTCCCTCCATGCGCGTCGTCTCACGCGCGCGCGCACGCAGGGCTTCATCGCGTTCATCGTCGACATCGCGCTCTTCGCGCACACAAAGTCCCTCGTCGACACGTTCACCCGCCCGCCACACACAAGCACCGCCCCGGGTGAGTGGCCTGTCACAGTCCCTCCCATCGCGCGCCGCTGACCGCCCGGCGCACAGCGTTCTGGCTCGCCTTCATCGCGCTCATCCTGACGCTGCTCTCCGGCTGCACCGTGTGCTTCGGGCGCAGGCGAGACTCGGGCTCGTCGTATCCCACGTTCAGCGGGGCCAGCGGCGGCGGCGGGATCTTGGCGCGTTTCCGAAAGAACTGACCTCAGGCTGGGACCGGACCTACTTTATTTATTTTACCTATATATACATCATGATAGCGATAGTGATGCAAAGATAAAATGTAGCAGTATCTGTTCGGTAGACGTACGTACGTGCTGTTCGTGTGATCCTCTTGCAAAGCAGGAGAGCATTGGCGTTACTCGGGTCCACGTCCATTTGGACGCGTCCATGGACGTGGACCTGGACACAATCAAATGATGGCGTCCATGGCCCGAGTCGAGCGTGACATGGGCCTAGAAATGGACTTGGGTATGGACATTGTATGGATGTGAAGATGGACTTCAGAATGGACCTCAGGATGGACATGGACGTCGGCCCGTAGTGCGCAAACGTAACGAGTATTACGATGTTGCACGTGCCAGCCAGCAATTTACTTCTCCCTTCTCGTCGTCCGCCGCGCCCTTCCTACTCCTTCAAGACCACCAGGGATCTCAGCTACGACGTCGATCGATGTAGCTCAGGCTACCCCACCGCCGTCGCTGGACAGACGGCGGCACACAATGGCATAGTGCGGGATTGGGACTCGGCACGCGCTTTGCTCGAATGTTGCGCTCGACTGCCAGCACAGCGCGGGTTTCAAGACGAGACGAATCAGCTCGACGAAGCAGATGGTCGTCTCGAAGTCAAGCAGGGTTGAGTGGGGCATGAGAATTGAATTACAGTCTGCAGAGTAGTGTTGCTGATGGCTGGCTCGGCTCGGCTCCGGCTCGGCTCAGTCGGCTTCGGCTCCAATTAGGGTCCGAGCCGAGCCGAGCCATTAGGAAAATGGCTCAAGCCGCATCGAGCTCAGCTAAGCTCGGCTAAGCCCTTGGCTCACCCTTCATAAAAACTTTCTGCAGATGCCTAGTAACACATAGAATGGTCCTGTGTTGTGTGAAGTGTCCAACAAGTGCCCAAAATTTGTGAATTTGTATCCGGTGTGACAGTGTGTGACACTGCACAGCAATCGGCGTTACTCGCCCGAGACGACGCAACTGCGTCTTCCCGCAGCTCCCTCATCCATATTTTGACCCCGGACACAATTCTAAGGCCTACTCAGCACATGCATCAGCCTCAAAGATGCCTCAAATACCCCTCAACAGTGATTTCATTCCACTTTCCGCTTTGGATGTTAGGAGGCACATTTTGAGGTGCTGAGAGGGAGGTACAGTGCCCGTCATCACCTCTCTGCACGTGTTATGTAGGGTCAAAGAAATTTTTGTGATTTATTCCTGATTTTCTGGGCCATGAAACCGGCCAAAAGAAGGCGATTCATCACAAAAAGTCATTTTTTCCCACGGTGTCTCACTTTTTTGGAGCTCGAGAAAAAAAACTTGCCCCAAAGCACTGATGACAGACCTAGGGAGACATCAAATGACTGGAGGCTTGCTATTAGAGTGCTTCTGTCATGTTCCCTGCCTTCACACAGTGTCTTGAGGCACGCCACAGAAATGTATGCTGATGAATATGGTGTGGCGGTGTCATGCACGTGACCTTAACCGTACCCAATATGGGAATTTGATCCCATCATTAGGGTTAGTTTCACTTTTCCGGTGGTCAAAAAGTAAAAACTTTTCATATCAACTAACCGAGCACAAGGGATCTTCTTTGTACTTCCCTTGAGTGTTTCTGCAGTGTTTTAGATGTATCCATTATGATGGCATAATGTAATTTGAAGTTTAAAGTTTTGGATTGTTTACTGCCAAAAGCGGAACCGTGATGTGGTGACGGGCACTGTATGATATCGTGTGGATGAGGACACAGCTGTTGATATAATCGCCCGAGCTCGATACGACGAGAGTAAGAGCAAGAGTATTGCGTTTGTTGGGTACCACTACAAACGCATAAGGCGTCACATGAGTCGCTACAGCCTTATATAGAATCCAGATAGGGGCTGTGTCAATCAACCCCAATACGGCTTCATCAGCTCGTATGCTGTATCTCCAACACTCCCCCTCGAGCGCCATGAAGCC